GCGGGCGCACACGGGATCGGCACCACCGCGTTGGTGGTCCTTCTGTAATATCCTCCAACTCTCTGCCTTCTTTGCAAGCACCATCCATATCCAGATCTTTCAACTTTGCCCTATAAATACCGTTCCGGACGCGATATAAAAGGAAAATATATTATATTTTGGAAATTGGGGAGATGGAGATGATGAAGGCATTGATGGTGCTCTCTCTCATGATGCTCTCTGTCATGGCGGAAGGCGCCCTCCTCGGGGGATGGAAGCCGATCAAGGACGTGTCGGATCCACACGTGGTGGAGATAGCGAAATACGCAGTGGAAGAGCACAACAAGCAGTCCAAGACGGATCTGAAGTTGGACCGAGTCGTGAGTGGTCAGACGCAGGTTGTCGCCGGTACCAACTACAAACTCATAATCGCCGCATCCGACGGCAAGTCCTACGAGGCCATCGTCTGGGAGAAGCCTTGGGAGCATTTCAGGAAGCTCACCTCCTTCAGGAACGCTAATTGAGATCTGTCTGCTGTTTTTGTAAACTCCTAGATGAAATCGGCGACTACATATATTCCGATTACTGACATTCGATGTCAGATTGTTCTCCGTTTTCATGTTTGAATAAATAAATGATTGCGATGCGTTCGACTAAAATTTCTCATAGATCTGTTCATATTTTTTTTGTTCGTTTGTTGATGGATCTGGGAAGGAATAAAAAAAAAAAAAAGGGGGGGGGGGGGGGGGGGACGACGGTTCGACGGGGTCGTCGTGGAGAAATAACCTGCACCTCCCGTGACTATTACGGACATTTTCTCCGTCAAGTGCGACTAGTCTCATTAATTTCCCGATATTTTTAGGTTTATTAATTAATACAAGACGGCTACAGTTATGGTTTGCAGTTATCTATCAACTGTTTTTTACGGATGGGCGTTCGTTTCGAAAACCCGATCCGACCCAAAAATTGTAGCCATCCGAAAACCATTTAAAATTCTCGAATCGTATTATTTTTACAAAATCAATTTTTTTAAATCTAACCGAGTTTTAACAAAACGAAAAAACTGTTTTTTAGAAATATATAATTTTTTAAATAAAAATCAAAACCAAAATTAAAACGAATCGAATATAATAGAATAATCGATTGATATTTATTTTTTATATAATCGAAAGAATCGAATGGAATTATTTCTAAACCAAATCTCGAAACATCCACTTCTAATTTTTTTTAAATTATTTTTATAATATGCAGTTTTTTCCCCACCACATAGGCGAGTAGCCTATAATCGTAATCGTCGATTTTGGTAAGTACTTAATTTTTTACGGGGTTTCGTTATATATTTTTCTTAGTATGAAAATTAAGTAGCGTTGAATGATAAGTGGTAACCGATAGGGTTAGGTTCCGCGGATTGGGCACACGCCAAAAATCTATCACATCCTTTAGAGCCAAAGTAATTATTAACAATTAAGTATTGCCGGATTTGGCATTAAACAACAATATCTACGCATAAATAAAGTCAAGCGTAAATAGAATCATCATCAATTTAAAATATTTGGCATAAAACAAAATTGGGAAATTTGTAAAATTCCGAACGATTATTATATTTAAATTGTATTTTAAAAAGTTCCCATCCGGGGTGTTATTATAAAGTATCCGTAGCGTTGGGAAATGGTAGAATCCATTTCTTAGGGCGATATGTGATCATTGATAATAGTGGTAACTGTTGAAGAAGTAAATGGAATATGGGGGATTTTGTGTTGAGTTTGCACCAAAATTGGGGCGTACACGTGACTGTGGCTGGACATCGCATACCGACATTACATTATATAATATATAAAACTATACAAAAAAATAAAAGACTATATTGAAACAGAACTTCAGAGTTTTATCTGTTGCCATGTGATAGCACATTATTATTATTATTATTATTATTATTATTATTATTATTATTATTATTATTTTCTCCCATCTCATCTTGTTGATAAGAAACTATTTATTTTCACTAAAAAAATGGACACCTCAAATCAAACCCAAACGCCCATGGGCCGGTGATTATGAAAACCCGGCAAATAGAGATGCCACGTGTAATGAAATATGTCTTTAGCAAAATTTATAAAAGATGAATTAATTCCTTCTCCCAAGCAAAACTCTCAGAGCCTCATTTCATTTTCTTATGTTTGAAAACGGATTTGCCGCCTTCTTTTCAGGACCAAAAACGCGATCTGAGGCGGAGGGATCACAAAACATAACTGCGTCTATTTTTTAATTTAAAAAAAAAAGAAAAGGAAAACTTCGAAGACGAGGGGGTCTTTCTTCTTCGTCAACCGTAGGGATGAGAATATGTTAATCAGCATGGAAACCATCAAACTCTGAAACCCTAGCGTGGACAGGGATCGATAGGGAGAAAAGATTGGTGGTTTTGGAAGAGGAGGAAGATAGGTGGGTGTGTGACGAAGGGAGGCGGTGGTGCTTCGAGGCGCGGGGCCTGCTTTTTAGCCCCGCATAGAAAAAAAGCGACTCT